AAAGAAAAGAGGGTGGAGGCCTGGCAATGTTTAGCCTGTCCCCTCTGCCTGTCAATCACATTAGCATTGAAGAAAAAAATGAAAGATTAGGGAAAAGTGGGAGCAAAATCTAAAAGGAAGGCATAAATAAAAGAAGCATTTGCATAGGTCTAAATATCAAAACTGCTTCATCTTATACATTGAGATGATTATAGCCAAAAAAGATGACTAATTTATCCCTGGAGGAATGTAGGTGAGGTCACCAAAATTGGATTTCTGGCTTCCATCTTTCTTGGCTGAATTTTTTTTTTTTTGGAATACTGAATGTACTTTAAAGAAAAGGTATATTCAGAGATTTTTTTTTCCTTGCTTGCTTAGTAAGCTGCTCATTTGCATCAGGTTGTCAAGAGTTATGACATTTAATGTTATTAATGTCACTTCCATTATTCCACTGAATCTCAGCTGCCTTCACCTACAAAATGTAAATGTTTTTGAGTACATGACCATAACTAGAGACCCCAAGGAAAGGGAAAGAAGAAACACAGGTCTCCGTACCGTGAGTAGGCTGACTTGCCAGCTCCTGGTGTCATTCACTGCCATGAGTTTGGAAATAAATTCACTCAAATGTCAGAAATATTACACACATGCATGCATGCTTATGAACACACACACACAACACACACACACACACACACACACACACACACACACACCACATATGCAGAGTTATTTTTATTCTAGATATCCAGTACAATTTAACAAATACTTGGAGCCAATTCTTTTAGAAGGAATGTTTTCCAGGTTGAAAAAAGATAGATTTATTTCAGTGAACAAATAACTAGGCCCATGAGAGCCAGAACATGAAGACAGGAAAGTTAATCTTGCAGACAGGTAGACCCATAATTTTCTAGAGAGTTAATGCAGTGACAATGATTCTATTATTTAATTCTAAAATGGCTCTCATGTAGCTTATTTACAGAAAATTATTGATTAATATGCAAAATAATTTTTAATATAATTAAATAAAATGATGGTTTCTTTTTTTAACATGGGGATTGCAAATGATAACTTTGAATACAATTGTGTCTTATTTTTGAATATTCTTAAAGTTCAAGACAAAGATATAGTTTAAATATTTCAAACTATTTTTAATTAGACTGAAAATTCAATTCTAAAATAAAAAAATTTATATGTGACTTTTATTTTTATTATAAAAATTCAAAAATACAGAAGAGACAGACAAATAATACAATTTCCTCTATTCAACAATGAAAGTTTTGTTTTATTTTTTGTAGCAAAATTACTTTTTCAAATGTACTTTTTCTCTTTCTATCTCTACCTCTAGGTTTATGTTTTTAGATAGATAGCTGGATAGACAGAGGTAAATTTTTTGTTAAGCAATATATACTCATGTGTACCTCACAGACCACTGTCAGACCAAATAAAATGAATAATGATTTTCTAATATTAGCTTATCCCTGATCCTTTGTAATTTTCACAATGTTTTTCAAACTATCTAGAACTGATTTTATTAAATGCAAGTTCATGTTTGTGAACTATTTCTGTGTCCCCTCTGTGTTGTGTAAATCTAGAATAGCCCACTTCTCCTCAACGTCTTTTTTTTTTCTATGATGTAGACTTTTTGGAAGAGAGCAGGACAATTGGCCTGATTGATTTCCCATGATGTAATTTAACTTGATTCTCTAGGTCTTCTGTTTCTCAGAAGTTGAAGGTTCATGCTCATTTCTTTTAGCAAAATGACTTCCTATGTGATGTCACATACCTGAGATTTCAGTTCACCAGGAGGTACCTGCAGTCATGTAGCCATATTATTAGTGATGCTAAACTTGACCGCTTGGTTGCTCTGGTGACAAATTTCCATCTAATCTATTTAGCATCCATCGGTAATACCTAAATCAGTGGTTTTACTAGGGGACTTGCAAACTTTTTGAAAGTTATATCCTTGCTTCTGTGTTCACTAATTGACATTATTATATAAAAAGTACAGCTTTACCCATTGATGGGTGCTAGCTATACTCACCTAAATTTTTTGAAGAAGAGATTAATGTCTTTCATTTGAGATCTATTCTTCAGAGAGTATGGAATTGATGCAACAGTCACCTGCAATAATGGATGGTGACTTTGTTTATTTGTTTGGTTTTGCCTGTCCATATTATTTGAGGGATTAACAGATTTTTATTTGTTTAACTAGTTGCAATCAGTTATGTTCATAATTTTTGGTTGACACCAATGATTCCCCAATTTAGCCAGTGTGAGTCCCTCAGTCAAATGTTTGCACCTCTTTTTCCTCTAAAACTGCCCCTTAAAATTTTACTTATCTAGTTTTATTTTTATGGATACATATTAGTTATACATATTTATGGAGTACACGTGATTTTTCATGCAAGCATACAACATGTAAAAATCAAATTAGAATCTCAAACATTATTGCACATTTGTGTTGGGAATATCCCAAATCTGCCCTTTCAGTTGTTTTTAAATATGCAAGGCAGCCCCCTCAGGTCCCTTCCCATTGTGGGAGCTTTTCTGTTCTCTCAATACATCCTGCTTTCAAATAAAAAAGAAATATGCAATACATTATTTTGAGCCAAAGCTGTCTTATTGTGCTACTGAACACTACATATTATTTCTACTATCTAACTGCATCTGTGTACCCATTAAAAACCACTCTCCATGCCCCGCCTCATGACCCTTCCAAGTCTCTGGTAACCATCAACCTACTTTCTACCTCCATAATATCATTTTTTTAGCTCCTACATATAAGTGAGGACACACACTAATTTATTTTTCTTTCTGTCTCTGGCTTATTTCACCTAACATGTCCTCGAGTTTCATTCATGTCAGTGCAAATGACAGGACAGTATTCTTTTTTATGACTGAAGACTATTCTATTGCGTATGTGTTCCATGTTTTCTTTGTCCATTCATCCACTAATGAATATTTAGGTTGGTTTTAGGTCTTGGCTATTGTGAATTTTGCTTTAATAAACAAGGGAGTGCAGATAACTCTTCTACATACTGATTTCCTTTTTTTAAAAATATATACCTAGCAGTGGAATTTCTGGATTATATGGCAGTTCAACTTTAGGTTTTTGAGAAACTTCTGTACTGTTTTTCGTAGTGACTGCATTAACCACCAACAGTATGGGAATGTTTCCTTTTCTCAGCATCTGCTCTGGCATTCACACTTTTTTTTTGTCTTTTTGATAAAAGCCATTTTAACTAAGGTGAGAAGCTATCTCATTGTGGTTTTGATCTGCAGTTTTTGATAATTAGTGATGTTGATTTTTTATACATCTGTTGGTCAATTGTATGTCTTAGTTTGAGAAATGTCTATGCAGATCTTTAGCCCCATTTTTTGTTTTTTTTTTTGGAGTTGGAGTCTCACTCCATCACCCAGGCTGGAGTGCAGTGGCATGCTCACAGCCACTCCAGGGTTGCCCTGAGCTCAGGCAATCTACTCACCTCAGTCTCTCAAAGTGCTACTATTACCGACTGAGCCACCAAACCCAGTCTTTTTTTTTTTTTTTAGGACAGGGTTTCACTCTATCCCCTAGTCTAGAGTGCAGTGACATGATAAATAGTCAGGGCAGTGTTAAATTCCTGGGCTCAAGCAATCCTCCTGCCTCAGAATTCTGAGTAGCTGGGACTATAGGTGCACACCACCATGTCCAACTCATTTTTCCATATTTTGTAGAAAGGAGGGTCTGGCATTTTTTGCCCAGACTGGTCTTGAACTCGTAGAGTCAAACGATCCTCCTACCTTGGCCTCCAGAAATGCTGGGATTACAGATGAGAGCCACTGTGCTCGGTCTTTGGCCCAGTTTATAATTGGATTTATTGTTTATTGCTATTGGTTAGGTTTCTTATATATTGGTTATTAAGCCCATGTGAGTTAAACAGCTTGCAAATATTTCTCCTATTATGTGGGTTGCCTGTTCACTTTATTGTTTCCTTTGCCATTTAGAACTTTTTCACTTCATGGGATCCCATTTGCCCACTTTTGCTTTTGTTGCCTATGCTGTTAAAGCCTCACTCAAGAAATCTTTTTTTTTATGTGAAATTTTTTCTTTAATGTGTTGTGAATGCCATCAAATGTAACCATTTATGATTGTTTTGACTGTATCATCAGTCACTTCCAGTATAGACAAATACATGTGTTATTTTGCATGTATGGTGACTACTTCAGTTAGCATAATTTTAAGAGTTAGGTTGTGTCGTCAGTATTGGCATTTTCAGAAATATATAATGTAGTCTGAGTCCAGCTTCTGACCCAAACATCCTACTCTGAGCCCTATTCCCTCCTCACTAACAGGTGGCCTTGAGCAAGCTAACCTGTCAGAACCCTGGTCCACATCCACCAGGTGAAGACATCACAACCCATCCTTCCTACCTCATATAGGTCCTGCACAAATCAACTAGATCACTATACGTAAAATTTTTCAACAACTATAAAGTAAAAGACAATTACAGATATGTCAGTGAAGTTAACCACCAAAAGAATATTCATGCCTACAACCAAAAGCTTTTAAATCAAAGAAGTTAAGCAAATGAGGACTATATTATACAGACTATGTTAACAGCCTACTCTATTGAGCCTAATCTTTGGAAAGACTTCATTCATTATAAGGGGGAAAAAAATCTGAGTTAAGATATTTATTAGTATTTATACAAAAAAGCTGCAACTACGAATTCAAAAATAGAAGGGTTTTTTTTTTCCCCCAGGAAGAAGAGTGCATTCTTTAACAGGACTGTACTGGAATAAGAATTTCATACAAACAGAATATATACCTTAACATAAGAAAGCAAGGAAGGAATGTTATACATGACACAGAATATTCAGGTGATTCAACCGAGTTAGCTCTCCACACACTTATTTTCCAAATTTATTACAAACATTGCAATCAGTTCCGCACATGGTGATGCTATGCAGTGTCTGCATCTCGCAGTGTGAACACAGCAGGTGATGCAGCCTTCAATTCCAAGAGTTAAGGGACTGGACTACTGTCTGCTTTTCAACGTTTCAACTAACCATTCCATGGCCTCACCGAGGCCAGTGCCTTTGGTTGCTGATGTTTTGAATATCTGCCACTTTCCATCCTTCAAGGTAGGTAATCCAAGTGAATTTGCCATCTCTGAGGGAGTCATGGCCTGTTCCATGTCCTGTTTATTTGTAAACACCACTAAAATGGCTCTTCTCAGCTCTTCTTCCTCCAACATGGCAACTAACTCTGATTTGGAAATGCCAATTAGGTCTCGGTCACGACTGTCTACTACACAAATAACTGCATCTGTGTTTGAATAGTAACATCTCCAGTATGGCCTGATACTTGTCTGTCCTCCTAAATCCCAGACTTGGAACTTAAGGTTTTTGTATATCACCGTCTCTACATTAAATCCCATGGTAGGAATAGTAGTCACGACTTCTCCAACTTGTAATCTGTACAATATTGTGGATTTTCCTGCTCCATCTCATCCCAAAATTAAAATCCTCATCTCCTGAGTTCCAAACAAACTGGAAAAAATACTTGAGAAAAAGCCACCCATGGCGAGCCGCTAGTCCTCCCTCGCCGACCCTCAGAGACAGCCGCTGTCCCGCAGAGCTCCCTGGGGGGCCTCGCGCCCCCACCCCTGCTCGCCCAGGCCGCTGAGGCTCGGAGGCGGCTCCCAGCGAGCCGGGTCAGCCGGCGACTCCCACGTCGGCCTCCCGGCGGGCGGGGGCTCAAGAAATCTTAACCAAGACCAATATCCTGAAGCCTTCTTCAATGTTTCTTTTAAGTACTGGTCTTATATTTAAGTTCTTAATCCATTTTAATTTGATCTTTGTATCTGTTTGAAAGATAGGCATCTCGTTTCATTCTTCTGCATATGGATATTCAACTTTCCCAGCACCACTGTTCTTTCCCTAACGTATGTTCTTGAAGCGTTTGTTAAAAATGGGTTTGCTGTAAATGCATGGATTTATTTCTGCATTCCCTATTTTGTTCCATTGATTTATATATCTGTTTTCATGCCGGTACCATCCTGTTGTGATAATTATAACTTTGTAATGCCTCCTACTTTATTCTTTTATCTCAGGATGGCTCTGATGTGGTTCCATCGAAATTTTAAGATAAATTGTTTTTTCGATTTCTGGGAAGAATGTCATTGACATTTTGATAGGGATTGCATTACATTTGTAGATCACTTTAGGTACTATAAACACTTTAATATTATTGATTTTTTCCGGTTCATGATCATGGGATATATTTCTGGTTTTGTATCCTTTCAACTGATTTTATTAATGGTTTATAATTTTCATTGTAGAAATCTTTCACAGCTTTTATTAAATTTATTTCTTGGCCTTTTAATGTTTTGCATATGTATATTGAATTTGTATTCTTTAATTTTACTAAATTTATCAGTTCTAATACATTTTTGGTTCTGGCATTTTTAGTTCTTTAAGATATATCATTTGATTGTTCATTTGAAGTTTTTCTGTTTTTTTGGTTTGTTTGTTTGTTTGGATGTAGGCATTGTACACTATGCACTTCCCTCTTAATACTGATTTTGCTATATTCTGTAGGTTTTTGTATGTTGTGTTTCCATTTTCATTTGTGTCTAGACATTTTTGAAATTTTCTACTTAATTTCTTCCTTGAGACAGTCATCTTTTAGGAGCATGTTGTTTGATTTCTGTGCATTTATATTGTTTCCAAAGTACCTCTTGTTATTGATGTTTAGTTTTATTTCATTGTGATCAGAACAAATATTTGACATGATTACAAGTTTTGGAAATTTTTTAGACTATTTTGTGATCTAACATATGATCTATTCTTGAAAATGCTTTATGTGCTCAGGAGAAAAATATGTATTCTGCAACTGGCGGGTGCAATATAAATATCTATTAGGACCATTGGTCTACAGTGCAGATTAAGATCAATATTTCTTTGTTGATTTTCCATCTAGATGATTTGTCCAATGCTAAAAGTGGGATGATTAAAGTCTTCTTCAACTATTATTGTATTGGGGTCCATCTATCTTTATAGCTCTAAACAATTTTGCTTTATATATATGGAAAAAGTCATTTATTATGATCACATGGAATTCATTCAAGGGATGCAAGGATGTTTCAATTTATGTAAATCAATTGATGTGTTACATTTTATCAAAAGAATGAAGGGTAAAAACATGATCATTTCAGTAGACACCATAAAAACATTCCACCAAATTGTGCATCCTTTTGTAATAAAACTCTCAACAAATTGGGTAAAGAAGGAGTGCGCCTCAAACATTACTGGCCATGTATAACAAGCCCATAGCTAGTATGATACCGAATAGTGACAAAAAACACCTATCTTCTAATATTTGGAATAAGACAAACATATACAGTACATATATATTTTGCACTGGGTGCATATATATTTATAATTGTTTCTTGTTGAATTGATGCTTTTATCATTATATAATGGCCTTCTTTGTCTCTTTTCACAGTTTTTGTCTTCAAATCTATTTGATCTGATGTAAGTATAGCTGCTTCTGCTCTTGTGGGGTTTCCATTTGCATGGAATATCTTTTTCTATTTCATTTATACTTTATTTGTGTCTTATGTTGCTTGTGCTTACATATATTTTGATCTTGTTTTTTAAATAATCCACTCGTTACACTGTCTTTTGATTTGATAATTTATTCTATTTACATGTAATATTATTTTTGATAGATAAGGATTCACTCATGACAATTTCTTATTTGTTTTCTGGCTGTTTTGTTAGTCCTCTTTTAATTTGTCTCTTTCTCCTTATTTTTCTCTGGATATAATTTGTTTCCTCTGGAATTATGCTTTACTTTCTTGTTTTTTTATCTTTGTATTTATTATAGAGTTTTTGCTTTGGAATTACCATGAGTCTTGCAAAACTAATCTTGTAATCAATTATTTTAAACTGATGACAACTTCACTCTGATCACAAAGAAAATAATAAAAACAAAACAAAACACTCTACACTTTAACTCCATCTCCACACTTTTTGACTTTTGTTGTCTTTATGTTTTATCTTGTCGATCTCAATGCATTTTTCTAGTTATCATTTTTGATAGGTTTATCTATTAGTCTTCATACTAAACATATGAATGGTTCACACATCACAGTAACAGCATTAGAGTATTTTGTATCTGTCTGTGTACTTCTACCGGTGAGTTTTATATATTCAAATGATTGCATGTTAGTGTCTTTTTTCTTTCAAAATGAGAATTTATTTTTATTTTTATTATTATAGTATTGCTTGTAAGACAGACCTGGTGCTTATGAGTTCCATCAGCTTCTGTTTTCAAGGAAAGTCTTTATTTCTCCTTCAAGTTTGAAAGACAACTTCACTGGAAACAGTATTCTATGCTCAAGTTTTGTTTCTTCACCACTTTCAAAATGTACTCCCTTTCCTCTTGTCCTGTAAGATCTCCCCTTATAAATCTGCTGGAGTTCCTTGGTATGTTATTTGCTTCTTTTCTCTTTCTTCTTCTAGGATCTTTTTTCTTTTGGCCTTTACCCTTGAGAGTTTGATGACTCTATGCCTTAAGTTAATCTTATTTAGGTTGAATCTGCTTGGAGTTTTTTTGACCAGCTTGTATCTGGATATTTATATATTTTTCTAGGTTGGAAATTTTTCTGTTATTATTTCTTAGAATATACTTTATACCCACATCTCTTTCTTTAAGTTTTCTTTAAGGTCAATAACCCTCAGATTTCCCTTTTGAGGCAATTTTTTAGAAATTGCAAGTGTACTTCATTTTCTAAAAAAAAAAAAAATCTCTTTTGGACTGTGTATTTTCAAATAGCCTGTCTTAAATACCACTCATGGTTTCTTCTCCTTGATCATTACTACTGTTGAGATACCGATGCATTTTTTTCAGTTTGTCAATTGAATTTTTCAGCTCTATGATTTCTAGTTTCTTTAATTATTATTTCAATCTCTTTGTTAAATTTATCAGCTGGAATTCTGAATTCCTTATCTGTATTATCTCAAAGTTTGTTGAGCTCCCCCAAGACTGCTATTTTGAATTCCCTGTCTGAGAAGTCGTATGTTTCCACCACTCCTGGTGATTTATTTAGTCCATTTGGTGAGGTCCTGTTTTTCTGAATGTTCTTGATGTTTGTAGATTTTTGTTGATGTCTGGGCGTTGAGGGATTAGTTGTTTATTCTAGTCTTCTTCTTCTTCTTCTTTCTTTTTTTTTTTTGAGTCGGAGTCTCACTCGGTCACCCAGACTGGCATGCAGTGGCCGCTCCCGACCACGCAGCCTCGACCTGCGGGGCTCCGCTGACCCCTCCGCCTCAGCCTTCCGAGTAGCTGGAACTACGGGCGCGCGCTACCACGCCCGGCTAATTTTTGATTTATTGTCGAGATGAGGTCTCGCCAAGTTGCCCAGCTGGGTCTCGAACCCGCGGGCTCAGGCAATCCACTCACCTCAGCCTCCCAAAGCGCGGGATTACAGGCTGAGCCACCGAGCCCGGTTTATTCTAGTCTTCTTAGTCTGGCATTGTTTGTACCTGTCTTTCTTGAGAGGACTTTTCAAGAATTTAGAGGGAACTAACTGAGTGTTGTTACTTAAGCCTGTGGTCACTGCAGCCATTTAAGCGCTAGGGGTCACCCTAAGTCCAAATATGCTGTGACCTGTGAAGACACCTTTTAAAATAGCCTTGGTGGATCTGGAGAAGATAGGCATTCATTCCTTGAGTTCCCAACAATTCTCCTGCTCTCTTTCCTCTTTTTGCCCGAGGCAGCAGGGGTCTCCACACGGGGCAGCCCAGAGTTGGAGGAGGCGAGACACAGGCATTCCGAGGGCTTACCATAGCTGGTGTCATGCTGGATCATCCCTCAGCCCAGGATCTGAGAGTAAGATGCGGAACTGAGGTCTGCCCAACGACCTGCAGGGGCCCCAGGCCACTTTAGTCCATCAGTGATGAAGTGAGCCAAGACTGAACATCCTCTGCTGGTTCAGAAGATCCTGCTTTTGTCCAGGACTAGTCTAAACGCTCCCTCTGTGGACAATGGTAGAATTCTGTTTGATGCTGTGTTCCACTGTGACAAGGACAGCACTGTGTCCCAAAGCAAAGTCCCATGCTGACTTCATTCTCTGTCCCACAGCATGCAGTTTCTATCTCCTTGCTGCTTTACCTGAGGTTAAGGGAGAGGTGGTGTTGGCAATGCGAGATTGTAGTTTCTGCACCCTTCAATGAGTTCTTCTTTGTTGTTATATTTAAAAACTGGTACTCTGATCACTCACCTGATTTTTTTCTTGTTTTTACGAAGGTGTTTTCTTACATGAAGGGTGGGTGTTCAATTTATGTTCCTGAGGAGAGGACCCTTGTGGTAGGGTTCCGTTTGTCCACTTTGCTCTGCTTCCCTTCTTGTGTCTCTTAGACATGGTCCCTATTTGTCTTCAAAAACTTTGAGCTTTCCCTATATTGCACAAGTAAAATTAGACTTTGTCTAAAAAATACTGGCTTTTGTTAGTAGTGAATGGTACCAAAGATAGCTCCTAGACAGAAGTGCTTATTGCAAGAGGTGTCATAAATTCTAGACTGCCTTAGTAAAATAAATTTGAGAA